GCGCCACGTGCGCCGTCTTCCCAATTTGTGGATCTAAGGCTGTATCTGCAGTAGTGGCCTCACTTCTCCGTTTCTTTCATTTAGCCGCTGCAGCCACTTGGCGCACTCGAGCCAATCTGCTGCCTCTAAAACACAATTCCCTGCTCTAAGGCTGTACCTTCTTCTTATTCTTCATTGCGAGTCGCGGAAAATATATTTTTTTTCAGTATCTTGCCTCTTGGCTTTGGCTGCCTTTACACACAATTCTTAGCTCTAAGGCTGTACCTGCAGTGGCTTCACTTCTCGGTTTCTTTCATTTAGCCGGCCGCGCAGCCACTTGGCGCACTCGAGCCAATGTTTAGTTTTCATAATTGTGAAAAACGGTACGCTTTCTGTTTGCAGTGCTATGGAGCTACTAACGAGACTCATCGAGCGCTTGTGAGCTTCTTCACAAACACAAATACAAAAAAATCTATTTCCATTGTAATGTTTTTGCAATTCTTACACATCACGCCTTAAGTACGCCCTCTTCCTGTAGGATTGGTAAAGCGTCAACGAAAATACATCGTTAAGCCGAAAAAAAAATCTAGGCGCCATAGGCTCGGTCCATATGCCTATTTGTTTTATTTATTGATAAAGGCCAGTATGGTTTTACCCGCTGCTGACCGTTTTCCCGTGGGAAAAAGAAATTTTCCCGTGGTAAAAAGTAGCTTATGTTACACAAAAATGTAACTGTGGCTTTCTGATGGTGAAAGTTTTTTTTATCGGTTCTGTTGTTTCGGAGTTTATCGATTACGTACACACAAAAACTTTCCTGAGTGTAGAATCCTGTGATTGATATTTCGTTTGTACACCCTAATTTATTTTCTACGATGATCGATCTCATAAAAAAATAATTACCACCGCTGAAAACACTTTAGATACCACGGTACGTATCATGTTGTGGTTATTAGGAAATAATCATGTTTTCTAACAGAAGGAGATAAAACGGATGTATTTTATGATGATTGTGAAAATACGGGAAAGATAAGTCAGTCAGTAGTTGGTATGAGCTAGTTTTGCAAGTTTAGTAATAGGCTTAAGTAATTATTGCTTGTCGATGATTTATGCATTACAAAAGGGAGCTCGCTAGAAATGATCGGCAAATGTTGTTTTGTTATGGTTTTGAGTTTCTTCGTGTACACTAATGCAGAGGAACCCCCTGGGCCCCCCGGACTTGATGCGAACAGAAGAGCAGACTCTGACGCAACAACTGAAAACGCAAATAACTCTACAGGTAAAAATATGTAGCTACTAAGAATATATCATCTTACGTTTCATAATATATCAAAAATCAAATCATATTACACCGCATTAAATACTACCGGCAAGTTCAAATTAAACAAACTACTTGGAAAACCTGCAAAATTTTCTACGTCAGGTAGGATTTGAAGCTGCAACTTTTTCAGGCATCCTTATTTCTAACTCTCTCTCTTTCTATCTCTTTTAAACCTTAGCATTCACTTTGCAGAACCAGAAGAAGACGATGTCACATTTCCCGAACAGATCACGCTGAGTGACAAAGAAATGGAAGACTTAGCCAACATAGACTTCGGCACTTGGTCGCCCATGGACTATGCGTTCAGATATTATAACAGGCAGAACTATTGGCCGATCAGACCGGCCGAATGGGCTACAGATCAATGCTATAAACAGTATTTTAGATGCACCTTGGCCGAGTAAGTTTTAGGCCGGGGCTGCGGACTACAGCGGTGCTACGGGTTAAACTTAGAAACAGAATAAGTTCCATTCCATCCAACTTATTTTGGAATTTATGGCTGTTTACCTGTTTGTCGATTTGTACGCAAAAACGTCAGTACGTATTTGGTACAAATTATATCAATATGTCATTTTTCGGTTTGGTTTCCCGGTCATAATTAAATAAATTAATCCTTAAAAGGGAGGATTGACACTACCTTTACCTACTCTCAAAATAAGTTTGGTAAGTGTCTCGCACACTACGACCAAAAATTCGTGACGGAATTCGGCGCTATTACACCAGCAATGTTATTTGCATTACGGATAACACACCAAACTCGAATTTCGGTCCGAAGTAATTTCAGCGTAAAGATAGGCTTAAAAACCAAGCGACGCGACAACGACGCGCGTCGTTGTCGCCGTCAAATTTTGACGGCGTCGTTGTCGCTGCGGTCTTGTAGAAAAACCCGACCGCATCCCATACAAACTCTAAGCTTCTCAGCGCGCTGTCAACGTGACGGCGTCGTGGCGCGCCGCAACGACGCCGTCGCTCGGTTTTTCTGGTTCCCCATACAAACCCATACAAACCAGTCATTTGACAGCGGCAACGACGCGCGTCGTTGTCGCTGTCGCTTGGTTTTTAAGCCCACCTTAATTTGGGCGTAATTTTTGCGCTTATAGTGTGTCATCCCAAACGAAAACGCCGAAAACCGACGGAACGAAAAATCTACCGCCTAGTTTCGGTCGTAGTATGTGTACACACTTTATACCTAGTTAGAATTTCAGCAAGTGGTTTTTCAATAACAGTTCGTTACTTTTTATAGTGTACACCCGTACCCAGTGTGTGGCGCGTCATTCGAGTGGTATCCTATAGAGAGACAGTACTTTGTGGACATCGTAGCCGGATTTCCCAATAAATGCGACCTGTTCTTGCACAATTGTAGAACAAAAAAACGTAAGTTACACGCGAGTCAAGTAAATTACATTCAAACTTTTATCGGATATGCGAATTTTCCACTTTCACATTTTGACACCAGTGACTCGACTTTTTGCAACATTTCCCATTTAATTTGCAAGCAAAACTTTGTCCCTATCTTTCTTTGTCTGTCTGTCTGGACACCGCTAACTCCTCTTAAACCATTCAGCGGATTATGAAAATATAGTTTATAAGTACCTACAATACATTCCTGATTCCGGTAAAAAAGGTACGATCGCAGGGCAGGCCGCTAGTTTGCATAAAATCAGGTTAAATGCATTTCTAGCTAAAAAAAATGATAACTGGATTACCAACTGAGTATCTAATGCATATATTAATTCCAGAAATGTACGAAACTACCTACGAGGGTATGTGTCGGTGGAACCGATATTATTTGTTCCACAATGCAAGACGTATGATTGGAGGGAAAGTGAAGAAAGTGTTTCAAAAGCTCTTCTTTGGAAACAAGGGTCACACACCCTTCATTGAATAATAATGATGTTATTAATTTATTATAGAAAATTAAAATAATGTTATTTAATCTTGCCCAGCAATAATTTGCTTTTTGGCAGGTGAATACAACTTTTATTTTGTCCTCTTCACCGTCCCTGCTGTCAAAAATCAAATAAATTCTTGGAAAGAAAATTAGTCACTTTTGTGTAAACCTACAAGCACCTGACTACCTATTTGGTTTAGTAAGCGAGGGAGAGCTCAGACTCAGAGTTTTGGTTGACCGTTCACCAAAATTGCAGCTGATTGCGCCTTATTAACATGATAGGCTGTCCCTTATACCCTGTATTTTGTAGTGCTAGTTTATTAGGAACTTCAACAATATGGTACCCCGTGCTAGTGATACAATTCTGTACCGTCCGCTATCTGTACGCGTATCCCTCTATCAGCGCTGGCCATCTGCTAAGAGCCCGCACTGATAGTAGGTACACTATAAATATTCAAAGGTCCCTTACATCCTGTATTCTGTAGTGCTAGTGATACAATTCTGCACCGTCCGTTATCTGTAGGCGTATCCCTTTATCAGCGCTGGCCATCTGCTAAGAGCCCGCATTGATAGTAGGAACGCTATTAACATTCAAAGGTTTGTCCTTTACACCCTGTATTCTGTAGTGCTAGTGATACAATTCTGTACCGTTATCTGTAAAGGCGTATCCCTCTATCAGCGTTGGCCATCTGCTAAGAGCTTGCTGAGGATCGCCGACGTGATTACCTGCACTGCTGCTAGGGTTGCCAGGACCTCAAAAAAAATCCAGATCCTGCGGCCTAAAATTTGGGTAGACCTGCGAGTTTGGCCTAACATTTGGGTAAAGCATCCGAAAACCTTGCGTTTTTAACGATTTTAATCTACATGTAAAAGAAATGTGTAAAATAACCTTTTTTTCCCGGAGCGGATCTTGCAGTTTTGACCGGACATCTTGCATTTTTGGCCGGACGGCAATCAAAACATCTGACTATGTTCGGCTTTATCCGGACGCCTGGCAGCCCTCCCCACTGCACAGCACATTCTAACGTGCGGGAACGTGCAAACGTCGCTGCACGTTACCAGCTGCAGGCTACGGGCCGTTTTCAGCCGTTTTCACTGCAATGCGATAAAATTTGTTTCCTGTATAATAATGTTTGTTTATATTTGAATAATGCCGAATATATTCCGCATCAATCATAGAAATCGCATCAGCGACGACACGGCAATATGCAGATCTGGGTCATCAACACAAATAATATAAAATGAAGTAGATTTAATATAGTATAAAATAGTATAAAATATGATAAATAGTATAAAATCAAGACGGTGTTTGCTTTTCTCTGTAGTGTCGCAGACACCACCAGCTCCTCCTAAAGCATGTTACGGATTCTGATGTAATTTTTATAAGATAGACTGATTCTAAATGAAAGTTTATAATATGTGTAAGACATGACGAGTAAACGTCTTATTCCCTCGGGAAAACGTTGATAATTTAAGCCTTTGCGATATCAGGGTGCTCCTCGCTACATCTGCGGGTCACTTCCCTGGCATGGATTTTAAGGTTCTTTCATATTATCGCATCAGGTGGTCGCGCAACTTTACTCGTTACATTTACATCGCATGTGAAATGATCGTACGAATACTAATGAACTATTTCTACAATTACTTCGCTACCATCAAGCTACCCATATAACGGATCAAGTTATACTTACTATACCTATCTCAGTATTTCTATGAAAAAGTAGAATAAGTTGATCCCAATGTATTGGTATTGTTAAAGCACTTACAGCGCTATATTCTCATAAATTGAAAATCGAAAACAGGGTCCGATTGGCGCCCGTAGCTCAATTGGCGGAGCGGTGGGATGGTACCCCACGGTCCCGGGTTCAAATCCCCGCGGACGCTAATGAATTTATCAACTTTCTCATTTTAAAATTATAAGTTGATCCTATCTGGCGATGCGCCTGCTTACTATTTCCTATGTCTGACTGCTAAAACATTTTGTACTCGAAAAATAGAGTTTTAAAATATAGGATTAAAAGCCCTATTCTTGCATCTGTGTTACGAATGCGCTAAAATGCGCAGCAAAGGTCGTCAAGTGTGGTCAACCTTCCTAAAACAAAAGTCAACTCCCAGATTGCTACGTGACTGAAACTTAGTTCACAAAGAATTAGAAGGAAACAAGTGTATAATTCAAAATGGCGCATTACCTATGCAGGATAATTATTACGATACTTTTACATGACGTAAGCGTTTTATTTTTATTTTGTTACAATCGGTGGAAAAAAGAGAGAAATTCAAAGAATTTACCTTGTAGTCTGAAGCAAGCTGAAGTGAAATCTGTCGTAGAACCGTTGGACGGTAGAGTAGGCGGGTTTTCGAGTGGAGGCCACATCTCGGCAAGCGTAGCGTTGGGTGCCCTAGTCGTCCTGATGGATCGATGACTTAGAGAGCGGCTGGTAACGACTCTATTTTGTGTCAAGTTTAATTTTCTCTTTTTTATAACACTTTTGTGTTCCTACTCTAAACCTGGCTCGGGCGGATTAAAATAATAAAAATAAATGCACTGCCTCGGGGCTGGCCAGGCTAACCTCACAGCATGTAGGTAACTAGTTACTACAATATAGTTAGTATTCTTTGCTACAATACTAAATTGATCACTAGTTTTACCCTGTTTGGCGTATTTTCAACCATTTCAGCCATTTCCAAGCTCTCTAATCTGTATTTAGTATTCTTTGCTAATAGTCGGCCACATAATGAGCAGGTAATCTGTGTGGGTCGTTTGTATCCATTGCGCAGTTTTAGTCCGGTACCACTGCCATTATTTGAGGGCATAACTTATTTAAATTGTAAAGTTGCTTATTTTTGTACGATTGTGTAATCAAATCAGTGTCTATAAAGCACATATTTAATTATGTGCCATTTTGCGCCTGCAAAATCTTTCGATTCAATGTAATTCTTAGGTGTGTAATTCAAATCAATATTTAGATAAAATACAAGGAGTAACAGAAAGGGTATTTAAACAAGCCGAAAGGAGGTAAAGGTACTCATGACATTGCGAACAACCTCCCATACAAAATCGCCGATCAGCTGAATGATTTATTATGGGAGGTCCTTTCTTTTTCATATTTCGACCTATGTTCCATGGGTAAAGTTGTTCAGTTTCATGAGTAACTTCACCTACTTTCGGCTTGTAATACCCTTTCTGTTACTCCCGGTCTTCTCCCGGTATATCAGTATTGTCTTTGTGACAGTTAACACAGTGTAAGAACCCAGTTTGAGTGGTTATTTTTGTTTTCGTTATGTTAGCTAGCATACATCTAAAATATCACAAATTAACTAATTGGGTTCGGCTAATGGTTCATAAACTACTCTAGCCAAAAATAAACGACTTTAATATTTTTGAAACATGGAAATCTATCTGTACCGGACTATTTGCGGCAACTGATTGGTGGACTGGATACGCGTTCATTAGCTGGGTTCGGCCATACCTATAAACTACTGTCTAAAAATAAACAACTTTAATATTTTTGAAACGTGAAAAGCTATCTCTACCGGACTATTTGCGGCAACTGATTAGTGGATACATACGCGTCCATTAGCTGGGTGCGTGCATTTGTTAGTGCCTTGTTAGTATTTTCACAAAATAGAGAGTTTACAGACGGTTCACTCGACCCCATTTAGGATTTTCGCGATTGTCTCTTGTTACATAGACAGGGTAGCTACAGTCAAAATCTTAGTCTAGTAACTAACGTCACAGCTATTCGGATTGACCCATGAAGCTGAAAATTGGCATGTTGGTACTTCTTGACTTCCTGATAAAAATTAGACATGGAGCCCAGCGGGCACCACCCTAATTTTTACCACTTCTCCTTTACAAGTAATTTTTAGTATTGACTTGGAGGGCAGTTTTATTTCATATCGTGCGTGACATCTCACTTGAAGCTTATTGTGCCCTCAAAATTACCCTTTAGTTTCTCGGCCCAAAATGAAAGTGGGGTGTCCCGTTCTTATGTGAGATAGGTATTCTTATTTTCAAGCTATCGACTCCCAAGAGGTATCAAAAGTTGCGTTATTAGACAGAGGTTGCAAAAAACCTAATATATCTTTAAATAATATTTATATTTAGGGCTCTATCGATCGTTAAAGTGTTGTGACTACGAAACCAACATATTATTGTTTTTAATGTTCGACAAAGCCCTAAAGATAAATATTATTTAAAGATATTATAAGTTTTTTGCAATCTGTGTCTAATTCCGCAACTTTTGATACCACTTAGGAATCGATAGCTTGAAAATAAGAAAATCTCATACAAGGACGGGACACCCCACTATTGGGGCTTTTGGGCCCCCCGGGGGGTCTAAAGCGTAATTTTGAAGACACAATAAGCTTCAAATGAGATGTCACGCACGATATGAAATAAAAACTACCCTCCAAGTCCATTACTTTAAAAGTTGCGCCTTGTAAAGGAGGGGGGGCGGTCAAAAGGTTAAGGGGGGTGGTGCCCGCTGGGCTCCATGTCTAATTTGGATCAGGAGGTCAAGAAGTACCTACATGCTGATTTTCAGCTTCATGGGTCAATCCGAATAGTTATATTATAACCAGCTATTGTCGTTAGTTACTAGACTATCTCAAAGTATAAGAATATCACAACAGCAAAAACTGATACAAGAACTTCATATAATTCTAAGCCAATTTCAAGCCATGAAATATGACGTTAGTGGCAACCATCTTTTTAGGTTACCTTGAATTCCCTTGAGATTCCAGTGTAAGCGTCAATATCGTCGCAAGTGCTAAGTGAACAATCTGTTAAAGCACCCCGCGCGCCGTTTCCCTTTTTTTTTCTTCAAGTGGAACACCATGTCGTCGTTGTCGCGGCGCTTGGAAAATAAGGGTACCATTACTTAGTTTAGCTCTTAGCTTTACGAAAATTTAATATAAGCTGCTTCGGTACAAAAACTGCTCTGAATGCCTAGCTCAGGATGGTAGACCATCATTTCTTGAAGATCTAACTGTGCAGACATTAAAATCTTTGAAATTCTTTCGCCTTTTGATTCCACTTCAAGACGACTACAGACAGGAGTTTATCTTTTTATCGCAAATTGCTGTCTTAATTTTCACGCAGGTTTTCTCTTCCTGTCTGAAACTTGCGGAAGATCGGAGATCGATTAGATAAACTGTTAGGGTCAATTCCCACAGAAGGCGACGAGACGAGACGCGACGCGACGCTGCAATGTCATTTTCAAGCAGCATCAAGATGCAACGCGCGGCGCCGCTCGATGCATCTTGAAGCCGCTTCAAACCCAGACGAGACGAGACGCGACGCGACGCGACGATGCAATGTCAGTTCAGGTGACGTCACTTTCGGCCGCCTGTCAGTCAGATTCCCACGCTCAGTGTTGCCGCGATGGGAAAATAAATAAATAATAAATAAATAAATAATTCTTTATTTCAGACTTGCATCCATATTCACAATAAGTGTCATAACATAAATTACAATAGGTAATAATCACAGTAAATAAAACATATCATCACAAACAATGAGTTATGTACAAGTAATAATACCTACTTATTTTAAAATTTTACACCAGTGTTTAAATAGCGCAAAATAGTCAAATTCACAAATGTTAATTACTAGTTTGTTGTTACAGTTTAACATACTTTGTCTAAATTTTGCGGCACGGTGTCGGATCAATGCATCAAGCCCCGCCAGGCGGGCGTCGGCAAACATTTCGGAGGCACTGCAGTACCTCGGAAGGCGAAACATAACTCTAAACGCGTCATTATACTGAACTTTCAATGTTCGATACTCTTCTTTAGTATAGTTCATCCACAATTGCGGAGTGTAAAGTGGCTGACAGTAAAAAATCCTACAACTTTTGGAAACTCGATACGAAAAAAAAGCAAAGTAACTTTGTTCTACTTGGTACCTATGAAGGGTAGGTAGTTGTTATTGAACTAAAAAAAGACCAATTATTCGCAGTAGTCCAATTGAGTATAGTTTCATGGAACTACTGCAAAGTTTTTTCGCAGTAGTTCCATTGGGCCAGGTCAGACAATGGAACTATCGCAAATCTTAGTTTACGATCATTCGCAGTAGTTTCGTTGAGTAGTTGTCAGTGATCCACCTTCTCACGAAATAGTGTATGCTAGACTATCAGATTGTTTGAGAAAATGGTAGGTCTTGAAGTGATCTTTCAGATGACAACTGTCGAAAATAAGATCCGTTTATCTCGGAAACCATAAATCTTAGACTATCAATTTCTTTAAGGAAATGGTAAGCCTTGACGAGTTTTACATATTTATCTCGGCAATCATTCATGCCAGTCTATCAGTTCGTTTGGGAAAGTTGTAAGCCTTGAAGAGACCTTTATTTTATGTGACAGCTGTCAAACTTAAAACTCGTTTATCTTGTCAATCGTTCATGCTAGACTATCAGTTTGTTTGGGAAAGTCGTTTAAAATGTGTCACTTAAAATGTAGATCTCGTCCAGACCTACAACTTTTCTGAAGAAACTAGTAGTGTAGCATGCACAGTTAACTAGATAAACGAGTTTGAAGTTTGACAGCTGTCACTTAAAATGTAGATCTCGTCCAGACCTACAACTTTTCTGAAGAAACTAGTAGTGTAGCATACACAGTTAACGAGAAAAACGAGTTTTTAGTTTGATAGCTGTCACATAAAATGTAGATATTGACAAGACCTACAACTTTTCCAAAGAAACTAGTAGTGTAACATGCACAGTTAACGAGATAAACGAGTTTGAATTTTGACAGCTGTCACTTAAAATGTAGATCTCGTCCAGACCTACAACTTTTCTGAAGAAACTAGTAGTAAACAAGGCCTACAACTTTCCCAAACGAACTGATAGACTTTCATGAGTGATTGCCGAGATAAATGTGATT